CTGTGAACCCCCTTAAAAATTCTGGTGTCAGGGCAGGGCTGCAGTGCTGCTCAGATGCCATCGGCCTGGGGAGGATTCTGTAACTTGGCTACGAATGCCTAAATTACACAATGGACCTCTCCAGACTCTGGAGGATGGGAAGGGTGCAAAAGGGGTTTAAAGCCCTCTTTGCCCCCTCACCCCCAGGACTCCAAGAGGGGACTCTTTTTTAAATTGTCCTCTTTTTTAAATCCTGGTTAACTTTTTAACATTTTTTAAAACAAATATTTTACTATGAAATCAACCAAAAATGAGAACTTTAACTGCTATGCCAGACAGCTAAATGGATAATGTAGAAAAAATAACCCACCACCAAGCACACAATGACTAGCACTGTAAAGGCACTGAGTATCCCCCTCCTGACCACAAGGAGGCATAAACATGCAAACACTGCATAAGTCTTGGTAAGATATCACTGATATGGAACAAATATTAACGTTTCAAAAACTCACAAGAAACTCTTGTTTTAAAAATGTAATTTAATCCATTAATTCTACAGTAGTCATCATACACATCAGCACAATACTTAAGTACATTGGACAGGTATCCAAGTAAGATGCAATTACCCAGCAATATTCTTTTGTTAAAAAAGAAAAGAAAAGAAACAAACTTCTAAAGATGTAACAGGAAAAATATTGGTTATAATAAACAGCAGGTTAATTGACTAAACACATCACTACTTTTCATTATCAAGTTAAAGGCACTTATCATGTTAACCTCCAATTGAGGCTTCCTGTCTCAAGTGCCCTGAAATCTAGAGAGGACTGAAGGCCAGATTCTTATCTTTCCGACCTTGCTGTAAAGACAGCATAACTCCATAGACACTAGTGGAGACTAGCATATGTCTGAGATCAGAAAATGACCCTTAATACGCAGGCGGTGTTATAACTCCTTTGAGTCCCACAAGCCATTTGGCTAGAAGCAAATGTATCTTGCCACAACTGTTGTCTGCTCTGATAGCACTGGCAAAGGTTTCCTGGCATTTGGACTGAATTGTCATGGCCCAGTTCTCCTCTCACTTGTGTCTATTTGGCACTGATGTAATGGCATTGATCTCAGTGGCATTATCCCACGTGTATACCAGAGAAAATGAGAAAAGAATCAGGCCCTTTCTTGCTTGATCATAAATATGAGCCAGATGCTGCACTCAGGGCCTAGGACTGGTGAGCCTTTGCTTGCCAGAAACAATGCATTATTCCTCATTCATGATGGACCCATTGCTCACCTCTGTCCCAATTATTTCACAGCAATGAACCAAAACAAATAAAATGGAGCAGCTGCCTGCATGCTTGGCCATGCTATGCTGTGAAATGAATGGCTATTGTGCAGAGCCTTGCAGGTTAAATTATCTACCGTAGTCCTGATTGCTATGATGGACCACATATTTGGAGGAAAGCTCTTTAGATGTTTTCCAAATCCTCCCCTTGGATTCATGAGTGGCATGGATTGTATGTATTTAGTGGGAGCTACATGCAGGCAAGCATATGAGGGCTGAATTTGTAGTCAAGGGGGATTGTCTAAGTGAACACTGAGCAAAAAATAACTCAGATCTGGCTGCCCCTTCTTTTAAAAACCCTCAGAGGGAACTGAGGTGTGTGTGGGAAAGTTCACAAAGGCTACCTTGAACTTTCCCAAGATTATCGGGTTTAGGAGATGGGGGCAGGATTTGTTGACCAGCAGAATAAATGGAGGTTGCGGGTGGTGACACACTGCCAGAATCTGATCTCTAGTGGCTGACTGGATTTCATAACCAACCATGCAAAGGCCTTTCCATAACTTCAGGTTTAGGGCTCCCTCATTCTGTTCCTAGACAGCTTGGCTTCATATGCTGACAGACACTGCCTATACTTTCTTATCCCTGGAACAACCATTGTAGATTTGCAGCCTTTGGCTGTATTAACTTTTGAACCCATTTCCTGCCATTTGGTGGGAGAGGGTGGAGACTATATGCATCTGGCACTCCCACCATCTACATGAATCCCTGCTTTCCACAAAGAGCTCTTGGTGCAGTCCAAAGATGATGCCATGTCTGCAGCTGTCTTCCCTGTGCCCCAATTCTGAGTGAGAATGGGGAGAGGGAGGCATTCAGATAGGAAGATCTGAGCCTGAACACAGAGCACAGGGCTTTGCACCTCTGAAAACCAAGAAGACTGATGCTCTTTGCAGGGATGGGGTGAATCAGAGATGGAAAAGGCCTAATGACTTATTTAGTTCATTCACCTGCAAGGGCCGAGATTGCTTCTAATAATATATTTTCCAGTACTTCATGGAAAAACTGTCCCTTTACGGAGCATTCAGGTCTAACCACTGTTGTGGGTGTTCACTGTTCTCTAACGAATGGATTGAACAGCAAATCACTTTTAGGGATGTATCCTTGCTTTGATACAGGCTTGGGACTTCAATTATTTTTAATAGGATTTGTATATGCATGTTGCAGAAAGGGATCCCATTAAATCTTCAGTGTTACACTTAGCAGGAAATTAATTCTTTATAATAAATCAATACATAATGACTGAAGTACAGTTTTTCCTCGAACACAGCAGCACTTGCAGTCGAACTGCCAGACATGTTCAGCTGGGCCTTGAGGTTCATCCAGTGACACTATTCATGAGACATATTTGTCTCCATTGCACATATTCATTTATTACAGCATATCAGTAGTGTTATATAATCTGAACGTCTTTATCACAGATGAAGGTACGTGAGAGAGGTGTTACTATTGTAACTTTATTACTGTATGTTATCACACACATCTAGAGCATACCAGGATTTTATTTTATTTTGTTTTATTTAGCTTAGCCCAAAGTTTTCAAATTTGGGGCCTCTGTAAGACAAGCACTTTAAATCCAGTTAGGCACATAAATAAATGGCCCAATTTTCAGAAATGCTGAGCATCAACAACTCCAGTGTCTTTAAGAGAAACTGCAGGTGCTCAATACATGTGAAAAACAGGCCACATATATAGGTATCTACATTTATGTGCCTAATTCTGGTCTCCAAATTTGACAGTTTTGGCCTTAGAGCACTGAAGACTGGAACTTTACAAAGCAGAAATATAAAAATAGTTGAAACCACAGTGCACACACAATGTCAAGACAACCAAGAACATCCAAAATATTTTTTCTGCATAGATTCAAAGAAAGCAAAATAAATAATCTTAATTTTACATTCCTGTTTTATATGTATTCTATAGGCTAGCTCAGCGGTTCTCAAACTCTGTACATGCTATGGATCACTTCTTAAAATAGAGATGAGCTCTTTCCTGGACACTTCCCCTTCCAATTTCCTAATCCCAATTTAAGTTTTGGTTACTTGCAAAACTAGTCTCAGAACAGTATTAAGGAGACAGAATGAAAATCAACTTCTTAGTACATTCCCACATTTTTTTCCATGTGCTATTTACTCTCTATCTCTGGATGTGTGGAAGGAGTTTACAGGTGGGATTTTCAAAAGCACTGAGTGCTGGCCTAACTCTGCTCCACTGAAGTCAGTGGGAGCAGTTATACCAACACCGAGCACTTGTGAAAATCCCACCCGAGGCTTATTAGTACTAAATCTCTCCTTGGGGCCTTTCCGTACCTGGTTTCATCTGCACTTTTTGGTCACATCCGCCTGTGTGTTTGGTCTCTCTCCACTTCAGGTGTCATCTCTATATTTGAACCCAGAGCAACACCAGACAGAGAGAATCCTGACGCACCCATGTACAAAGGGAGCAGAGTGTGCTTCATTTATTCACTTTAAAAATAAAGTCCTGGACTGGATTCCAAATGGCAGCGAACATCACCAACTGGAGACTGACAGATGCTTCGCTAGCATGACATGCTTCCCAAAGGGATCTGCAGATCAGTTTGAGAACCCCTGTGCTAACGTCAACTTAGTATAAAACTGTAGTGGCAAAGTCAGAGCAATGACATTCTTCCTGCTAGACTTAAAGGAAAAACTGAACATTTCCCTCTTGAAAAGCTGCAAATATTTTCTAATAATAAAATACAGAATGTACATCAGTGCTAGAAAGTGTGACCCATCTAATCCCTACAAAAGCAGATGCCATCTGCCACGTGGAGACAACACCTATGCCACAAAGAGAAGTTTCTTACAACATAGTAGGGCTCTGTTAAAAAAAAAAACCTACCAAGCTCCACAGCATTTTGGTGCCTCATTTATGGACTGCATAATTGCTGAGACAAAACAAATTTAAATAATTTTATAAAATACATTCTTCATGTGAGGTGAAATTTTAATGTACCATATGGCTGTGTTAAAGCATCCTGAATAATTCTTTAGCCATAACCTTGCTCAAGATAAATTTGTCACACCTCAGAGAAAAAATAATTAAAGCAAAATGTAAAAGATAACCTGTTTTGCATAATGTATATTTCAGCTGCTGGCTAACTAGTACTAGGAATAGGTAGATTGACCTGGTATGTCAGCATGAAATCAAAGACTGAAGAGAATTATTTGGTTATCTAGTCAGTCCTCGGTGCCCACAAATGTAGCAGATACTAAACTGGGGAGGACACTGTGATCTCAGCCAAAAGGTAGTGAAGTGGTTAATTACCATACATGATACATTTAGTGTGTTAAGATTTTGACACATTTATATTTTTAACAGTTGGTGAGTTATTTGAATATTTAGTCACAGACATTAAAATGTAAAAACATCTACTGTATGTGCTGCTGGTTCTAACAATAGTCATGATATTAGGATTCCCAGTGAATACTATATATAAGAATATCCTACGTCCATGTCACATATACTTTATGAACTTACAAATAAATAGATCTACAAAAATCTGGTCCTGTCTCCATTCTCTCTCTCTCTCTCTTTTTTTTTTGTAAAATGCAATATGCAAAAAAGGCTCTTTCTGGTGATGAGAAATTAGGAATTGCACATTTGGTAGGATGAATATATTACTGGTGCAACACCTAAGTCAACCACTAGTTAACAAAAAGACATCATATGAAACAAAATTTTAAATTTTATTTTACATATTTATACATAAAACTTTCAAGGTAACTCTCTGAATCCAACTGAATGTTAATAGCACATCTAAAAATGAATGTCAGGTAGTCAACATTCACAAAATGTTGAAAACTGATTAAAATATACATATTACTGAACGCTACAATTTCACTACGAGGCAGGCATTTTTTTGTTTTTTTTTGTTGTTTTTTTTTCTTTTTTTTTACTTGTATAGCACCGTCAATTACAGTTTCTTTGTTTAAAACTACAGTGAAGAATAAAAAGTAGTCAATGGTAAAATACTGTTCAACTTAAAATCTCTAAACAAACAAAAATAAAGGTAAACTACCTTTTCTTCTTATCCATGGTTTGTAATGTTATAAGCACTGTACATTTTTGTAATAATATTATTAAAATGCCCGATATTTAATGGCACAAGTAAAAAATTAAAATAAATTAAGGAGCAGAGGCCAATCACTGGACATAAAGCTTCAGACATTATCAATGACTAACACTCATTTTCTTGTGCGCCACCTTGAGCATCAGCATTTGTACAACCACAGAAGCAAAATAAATGCTAGCTTATTCTGATTGCTTCTTGCTTTATTTTGCTGGCATTTTCTCTGCCATGTGCTTCTGCTGACTTTCAGCATGTCTGGGGAGGAGAAAAAAAAATCACTATCAAGAAAAATTAAATGGACTATTCAACATCTTAAAACATACTTCAACCTAAATAAGGCTTCCCCAATGAAGAAAATATTAAGCAATCAATTCCTGTCTTCAGATTAGTTTAGTGTAACATTTCTTTCATGACCTTGGTCTGGTTACCTAGTGTACAATACACGTTAAAATAAAGAAACATTCCTTAGACTAAAGTAAACTCCTGGGATCATATAACCTGCAAACATTTTCCCTGCTCCCACCCAAGGAAATTAAATTTGTTAGTTTCAGAACAATGAGACGGTGTAACAAACTGAGGAATTAGCCAGGAATTAGGGTTGACACTGCATCCCTTGCCCTTTGGTGACATGACTATTGTGACGGGGCAAGGCCAGATGGCTATAGAAAAGTAGTGGGAGATAGATATATTAGCTCCAGGCTAAACAAATCCCTGATACCAGGATAAGTTAAATGGCAGCTGCTCCATGTCAGTTAAGACACCTGGGGCCAATTAAGAACTTTCCAGAAGGCAGGAAGAATGCTAGGTTGATTGGGACACCTGAAGCCAATCGGGCTGGCTGAAACTAGTTAGAAGCCTCCCAGTTAGTGAGGTGGGTGTGGATGTCAGGAGCTGTGGGAGGAAGTTGTGCTGTTGGAGAGACTGAGCAGTACACATCATATCAGGCACAAGGAAGGAGGTCCTAAGGTAAGGGTGAAGTGGAGCTTGAGGAAGTGGGGGCTGCTGTGGGGGGAAGTAGCCCAGGGAATTGTACGTGTCATGTTTCTAAAAGGTCAGATACCATATCTGATACTATTAGGGTCCCTGGGCTGGAGCCCGGAGTAGAGGGTGGGCCTGGGCTCCCTCCTTTGCCTGCCCACTGATTAATCACTGAGACTAGGAGACAACACAGACTGTACAAGGGAGGACAGCTTCTCCTCACCTCCCTCGCTGGCTTATGATGAAAATGGCTCAGTAGGCTGTGACCCTTGTCTCTAGAGAGAGAAGGGTTATGTGGAGGGTCACAGTGAACCTCTGAGGCTAGCGAAATCCGCCAGGAAACGCAGAACCCACGGGGACAAGGACAGAGCTTTGTCACACTATACAGAGTAATATCACAAAGTGTAACAATGAAATACACTGCTATAGAAGATATCAAAGACACTTCTAAATGTTTAAACAATTTCATTTACTACTGATGCAAAATGCTTTCAGAATGCTGAAATGTTTTTGGAAGCACAGAAAAAGAAATAGCTGGAACATCAAACAAACACTACAAGACATACGATAGTAAGTGGTGTAAATCATTGTGCAAATTCATATTCCTGCAGTACCTGTCACAACAACAAGTACATATAACATCCTAAATATTATTTGAGAACACAAGCAGCACTCATTACTAGGATCTCTCAGAACGGATTACTGTCCAACCACCACAACTACATAATCCACTGCTGTTTGTCCCAAGGTACTGGGTAGTAGAGGCGTTAGCTGCTCTAATTCAGGGTGTGGTCAGCCCTGCTCATGTGAGCCTCGAGTGTGACGGGCTCCAGCTGGTAGTACCCAACAAGGGCCTCACCTTAAGTAATGGGCAAAGATCAACAACAGACCAAGTGGATGAAGGCCAAGTTCTTCGACAGTGATGAAGGACTTGCTGGCCACCCTTCCCTCAGCCCCCACTGGCCTGGAGCAGCGAACCGCGGCCAGTGGGAGCTGCGATCGACCGAACCTGCGGACGCAACAGGTAAACAAACCGGTCCGGCGCACCAGGGGCTTTCCCTGTACAAGTAGCAGACCGACTTTGAGAACCACTGTTCTACGACACGTAGCAGCAAAAATCCAGTCAACTCTGCCACATTACATTCTTTTAGCACTCGGAGATTTCAACTCTGTGACCAAACTGGTATTAGACTGTGCTACATCCCTCTGTTTCAAGGTCCCAAATGACACCACTGCTCAGCTCTTGACATTGTATGCCTCCAAGAATTTGTCTGTCATGGGCTCCTATGTTAGGTGCCTCCATAACCATCAGTGGAACTGTATTTCAAACAGTAGACATCTGCCTTGAAAGACATTGATTATATCCTCATAGGAAATCCCTCCATAATGTAATCTCACTGGGTCTTCGCTGGCACAGAAGCACCAGGAAATTCAGACCACAGACCAGTTGTTGCTCAGCTCTCAAAACATCTTCCAACTTCTCACAAGCCAGATGTCCACCAAAAGTACAACATCCAACACCTTTCTGAGAATCATGTTGAAGCCATGATTCAGCTGACAGATCAGCACTTTGTTCTGCACCAAAAGGTCTTGGCATCCCAGATGTTCTGCTAAATCTAGTGCATGATCTTCACATCAGTGCGAGAGTGCGTGTTGGTCAACTGCTTTCCCTGGATTTCTGCACAACCTCAGATGTGCAGTAGGGATGTATTCTCACCCTGGCACTATTCTATTGCGCTATCAAATGGATATTAGGACTTGCCACTCCACGTCGGAATCAAGATTGGTCAAAAAGTGTTCACAGACCAAGACTATGTTGATGACACTGCCTTGCTTATGGACAAGCCAGAGACTTTCAGCCCTGCTTTTCAAAGTTTCTAAGACACCACCCCCATTATGGGGTTGTACATCTCATGGCAGAAGACAAAGGTTCACAGCCTGAGCTGGGTCACCAGAACCCTGGTGCAGGTGGGTTGTACAATGCCATCAGCCGTGGTTGCGGTGGCTGGCGTAACGCTTCTCAGAAGACCATGCATGTTTGATGATGGGGAGAAGTGCCTACAGGCCAGCTGCAACCCTTCTTTCCTATAAATTCATCCAGGCAGGTATGCTTCTGCTGACTTGCAGGGGGCCTGGATGAATGGGAGGATGCACAGGTGAGGCACACAAACTGTACAGCCCAGAACCCCACTCTGAATGAACTCACTGTGAGACAGCAAGCAGGGGCAGATCAAGTATCTATTACTGTGCAAATCCTTCAACCCCAAAAGGTAGGAGTATGTAACAGATCAAGGTCAGGCAGAGAATTTTCACTTAAATGGGAGATTCTCTGGCACATAACAGTTATTTTGCGTAAAGCTATGTTACAATACACTTGGGATCTCTAACGGATATCAATTTGTCTGTGCCCGAAAGGAGACCTTATAAGTATTCAGCTCCACTCCTAACCCCAAATCCTCCTCCATTTTACTATTATTCTATTAATTTACCACATAGCGACTGTGCACATGCAAGATTTCTAAATGAGGAGGCTTTACTTGTGATTGCAACAGAGGTAAGCCAGGACTGCAATATCTAAAAGCACCCATAGGTGGCATGTAAACTATTTTGAATGATGGTATTTGACTTAACTACACTCCAATTACCATATCATTTATGACAAAACTTTCCCAGGTAGTGGATAACTGTATTTCAACCAAATGTAATGCAACAAAAATTGTTGTTGTTTTTTTTAAATCAAACATTTCAGACCATTTTCCCCCACCTTTTCCATATCATCAAAATGGAGTTCTGAAAATATCATTTAAAAATAGACTTTGTTTAAAAATGTTTATTCAGAAAGATTTTTAAAACTGTATTAAAAATGTTTTTGGCGGGCCATACAATTTTATATGCATAGTTTAATGCTGCAGTGCTGAAGATACTACTTGTGACCAATAAGCACTGGAAATAATCCGACATCTTTTAAATTCTTATTATGCAGAAACCTTTCAAATGTGTTAGATTAACGGCCATAATATTATACAAATTAAAAATATCCCTTAAATCATATCTGAGATGATGGACTAAGAGGACTTGATGCCTGTATTCTGGCATGTTTTTTTCTCAATCCACTGCTTAATGTTATTGTTGTATCTCCGTGCAATCCTTCTGGTTGCAAAGTCTACCTCATCTAGCCTGCACCACACAAATGCTATGGGGGATTTTTTTTTTTTTAAACCTTTTTGATGTGTTGGGATTAAAACATTCTGGCAGCACCAAAGCAGATTTATTCTTAACTAGTTTCTATTCTCTACCTTTCAGAAATGACAGTGCCAGACCTTGGCATATCAGAATTTTGGTCTCTAGGGATATGGAGTTGGACAGCTAGTTGATATTTCTCAGCAGAAAGTTGCTGAAAATATTTAGGATTGCCTGTGGCTGAATTATATTGCTGTTGTTGCAGAAATGGCCTTAAAGTACTGTAACACTGATGGAGACCACTGTGTAAAAAGATATCCAAGAGGTTAAAAGTCAGTCCTGCCCTGAGGAAGATACAGTCTCTGGCTCCAGCCTGCTGCTACTCCCAAAGTTAACCCAGGTTTCCCATTTCCTTGTGGTAATCATCTCTGAAGTTCCACTTACCTTACTATGAGTGCTTTTAGAGAAAACTGTGGCTTGGTTTTAGACATGAATCGGGTCCAAGAGTAGGAACCTTCATGTGGTGAATGACATATCATTCAGTAACAGAAATTACTTAAATATTATTCTGTATCGATTTGTAATTGATTTTTTTTTTATTGCTCAAAACACCCACTTACCTTGGCAATGGGTTCGAATATAGATTTCCAAATAAAACACACAAAATAATGGTATGAATTGCAATAACAAAATATGTAATGGGGGATCAAAGTGGTAACTTCTTAAGTTTTTATTATACCTAAAATGCTTACACTGGTGATCATATATGATATTTAGCGAAGGAAGATTCATTTCAGCCACTCTGACAGCTTACAGATACTGGGTTTACTTATCACCACCAACTTTTAGGCCTGGCATTCTACCCAAATGTTGCTCCAAAACATAGAAAGTATATTCAACTTGGAATATTCCTAGCAGCAATGTTTAACAGAAGACTTTACTAACCTGGTCAAGTCTTCAATGTCTACCAGCATTGCATCCTGCTCTGTGTGCAATTCATCTCGAATAAGAAGCAGCTGCACCAATTCTTCATTCAAGCCTGGTACCAAAGACAAGGATTTTATAATTTAATTTAACCGTAGATCCAGGGATTAATGATTAGGGAACTGTTAGCTCCTCCTAAATCATCATGTTGCATATAGTAAACAACTGCTTACATGGAGAAGCAGAAAGATTCCCTAGGTAAGGTTTGGTCTCCATAAAAAGAAGCATATCACAAAATGGAATAAAAGATTATCTATATTACTAATAGAGCTATAACAAATATGGACTTTAAACTACTATGGTTCTCATGAAATAACTGAATATAGCATCCTCTCAACTCAAACTTTAGATTTTAGCTAATCCATCTACTTAAAGACAGTTGGAAAAGACTTTTAGTCCAAGAAGCCTCTACCCACTAAGAAAAAATAAATCACTCATTAGGAAAAAGTGTGTGGGAAAAAATAACCTAAAGTAATCCAAAAAGAAAATGTCTCTAGAGTTTAACGAGCTTCCTGGAACTCTCCCCTTCTCAATGCTGCCATAACTGCAAGCCTGACACTGTTCTGTAGCCCAGAAAATCTGCATCCTGATCTGTTCAAAAAGAAGAATGGAAATGAAACAGTGTGACCAAAACGGGCAGTATTTCAAAACAGCTCAGACAGATGAAAGAGCTGCACTTTAGTAAAAGAAATCAATGGCAGATTTGTGGTAATGCCAGACATCTTGAATACAACAACAGACTTTCTGAGCTCTTGCAGCCTGTAATCAAAAACCTGTGTTCATATCTACTTATAGGTTAAGGAATGTCGTGATTCTAAGCAAAAAAATACAGCCAAAATGTGAAGCAAGTGACAGTGGGTAACTATATAAATGTTATAGGATGCTTATTCTGCTTTGCCTGGAATACAATACATTGCAATTCAGAATAGAGCGAAGGTGGGTTCTTCCTTAATAAAGCAAAATGATATGATGAATCATTCTGGAGAGTGGTAGGGGACTACTGAATTTCTGACTTACTGCTAGCTAATCCAGAAAACACCACAAAGGAAAGTGCGCTTGCTCCTTCCTGTGCACACACAAAATCTGTCTTTTAAGCTAGAAGCAACACTCAACAGATAAACAGAAGGGGACCTGCGTGGGGAGCAGTCAAGAACAAAAATGATGCCTAAATGAAATGTTCAGAATAAAAATCTAGTGATCTAGGTTGTGTTTCTGCTAATGATTCACTGTCCCACCCAGAAACCGAAAAAAACTGAATCAGAGTAAAACTGATTTTTGATTGATTCTCTCCTTTATGTGCTGTCAAGGTTCCTCCCCCACTCTGAACTCTAGGGTACAGATGTGGGGACCTGCATGAAAAACCTCCTAAGCTTATCTTTACCAGCTTAGGTCAAAACTTCCCCAAGGTACAAAATATTACACCCGTTATCCTTGGACTGGCCGCTACCACCACCAAACTAATACTGGTTACTGGGGAAGAGCTGTTTGGACGCGTCCTTCCCCCCAAAATACTTCCCAAAACCTTGCACCCCACTTCCTGGACAAGGTTTGGTAAAAAGCCTCACCAATTTGCCTAGGTGACTACAGACCCAGACCCTTGGATCTTAAAAACAATGAACAATCCTCCCAACACTTGCACCCCCCCCTTTCCTGGGAAATGTTGGATAAAAAGCCTCACCAATTTGCATAGGTGACCACAGACCCAAACCCTTGGATCTGAGAACAATGAAAAAGCATTCAGTTTTTTACAAGAAGACTTTTAATAAAAAATAGAAGTAAATAGAAATAAAGAAATCCCCCCTGTAAAATCAGGATGGTAGATATCTTACAGGGTAATTAGATTCAAAAAACATAGAGAACCCCTCTAGGCAAAACCTTAAGTTACAAAAAAGATACATAGACAGAAATAGTTATTCTATTCAGCACAATTCTTTTCTCAGCCATTTAAAGAAATCATAATCTAACACATACCTAGCTAGATTACTTACTAAAAGTTCTAAGACTCCATTCCTGTTCTGTCCCTGGCAAAAGCAGCATACAGACAGACACAGACCCTTTGTTTCTCTCCCTCCTCCCAGCTTTTGAAAGTATCTTGTCTCCTCATTGGTCATTTTGGTCAGGTGCCAGCGAGGTTACCTTTAGCTTCTTAACCCTTTACAGGTGAGAGGAGCTTTCCCCTGGCCAGGAGGGATTTCAAAGGGGTTTACCCTTCCCTTTATATTTATGACATGTGCCATTCACATCATATGTTCTAAACAGCTTGACTGATGTCCTAGAATATAAAACGAATATTCCAGTAGGGTTGCTCAAAAACAGCAGCCTCTGTTGCAGGACTTCAGGGAAAAATCATCTGCATCCCCAGCAGAGCACCATGATCGTAATTAACGAGCACAACAATCTAAGGAGCAGTTCAGTGCACAACAAACATTTTTGACTTAGAGCCACCAGAATACCCTAGTCCAAACTTAATTAATTCTTAACACTGGGAGGTGGACATCCCTTGGTAAAAACTCTGTATCTATCAGAGAGCAAGGAGAGATGAGGGTGGGGAAGGACACGACACTCTCTTTACACACTAATGTATGTGACACATTTTTATTATTTATTTATTTATTATTAATGCATTAAAACAGACTCAAAGGACTGGAAGAAACCTCAAGAGGTCATCTAGTCCAATCCCCTGCACTCATGGCAGGACTAAGTATTATCTAGACCATTCCTGACAAATGTTTCTCTAACCTGCTCTTAAAAATATCCAACGATGGAATATTCCACCACTTCCCTAGGCAATTTATTCCAGTGCTTAACCACCCTGCCAGTTAGGAAGTTTTTCCTAATGTCCAGCCTAAACCTCCCTTGGTGCAATTTAAGTCCATTGCTTCTTGTCCTATCCTCCGAGGTTAAGAAGAACAATTCTTCTCCCTCCTCCTTGTAACAACTTTTTATGTAACAACTTGAAAACTGTTATCGTGTCCCCTCTCAGACTTCTCTTTTCCAAACTAAACAAACCTAATTTTTTTCAATCTTCCCTCATAGGTCATGTTTTCTAGACTTTTAATCATTTTTGTTGCTCTTCTCTGGACTTTCTCCAATTTGTCCACATCTTTCCTGAAATGTGGCATCCAGAATTGGACACAATACTCCAATTGAGGCCTAATCAGCGCGGAGTAGAGCAGAAGAATTACTTCTTGTGTCTTGCTTACAACACTCCTGCTAATACATCCCAGAATGATGTTCACTTTTTTTGCAACAGTGTTATACTGTTGACTCATATTCAGCTCGTGATCCACTATGACCCCCAGATCCCTTTTCACAGTACTCCTTCCTAGGCAATCATTTCCCATTTTGTATGTGTGCAACTGATTTTTCCTTCCTAAATGGAGTACTTTGCATTTTCCTTATTGAATTTCATCCTGTTTACTTCAGACCATTTCTCCAGTTTGTCCAGATCATTTTGAATTTTAAGCCCATCCTGCAAAGCACTTGCAGCCCCCTCCCAGCTTGGTATTGTCCGCAAACTTTATAAGCGTACTCTCTATGCCATTATCTAAATCACTGATGAAGATATTGAACAGAACTGGACCCAGAACTGATCTGCGGGACCCCACTCGTTATGCCCTTCCAGCATGACTGTGACATTGCAACGTAACAGGGGAGAGAAAAAGACATTTTGAGAAATAGAAAAATACATCTGTGATGGGGTGCACTTACCCTGCACTGCCCAAGAAGGGGTTAGCCTCACACTCTGGGTGAAGGAAGTCCCACCCCCTTGCCCCTGCTAGGCATGCTCCAATTGGAGCAACAGTATAAGAGGGAGCAACTCAGCTCAGGCTGGGCTGACTGCTGAGGAGGGAGGATGCACCTTGCAGGCTCCAGCCCGGGAGCTGTGGAAGCCAGAGGCACCGGGACCCAGGCAGATACCCAAGCACTTGCGGACGCCCAAGGAAGGATGGAGCTGCACAGGCAGAGGATCCCAAAGATCCTGGAGATGCTCAGACCACTGCATCAGGGAAAGGGTAAGAAGCAGCCCAGGGGGACTAGTCATTGTGCTGGGTGGCATTAACGTGTTTCGTTAGGCTTCCCTGACTCAGTGGGGAGCACACTTGCCACTCCCAGGGCTCCATCCTGTCCCTACTGGCCACTGGGCCACACAGCCCTGTGGAAGAGGGCAGCCTTATTGACTCTGGCCACTAAGCTGCATAGTCCTGTAGAGGAAGACAGTCTTATTGACCTGGGCCATTGGGCTATACTGCCCTGAGGGGGAGGGGATGCGTTTGCCCTGCAACAATGTCCATACAAAAAAATAAAAATTGGTAGGGAGCCTCAAGGGAAGATGTAGTTTCTAAATCTAGCTTTAATTAACTAGATTTTGAGTTGACAATTCCCCCTTAAGCCCTGGAGCAGTACTGCCTGAGGAGCAGAAATCGTTTTAGATATGATTTTTAAAAAGCCTGATTCTGTACAGTGTTGAACCCCCAACTCTCCCTGAAATGCAGGGAAGCCTGGTTTTCAGATCTTGCAGGAGCTGCTCAGCACTTTGGAATATTGGGCCTTGCAGACTATTGGATATCCCTAAATAGATCAGAAGGGAACAAGAACTTAAGACTTAAAACATCAAACCTGTTACATATGCACAAAGAACTGCTCAGTTCACCTAAGCAAATGGACCATACTTGTCCGTGATGCAACTCCACTGACCTCCTCAACAGGGCTGATTATGGACCAAGTTACTTTACTACTATACTATACTAATCATGTAACTTCAGATTGTTTTATCATATGAATAGCTAGGAGGCCACACACTTTGTAGCTTGTATAAGCTGAGCTCATTGCACACACCAGGGGCTCTTTGCATTCCTCCCTACAGCAAGCACTCTGCTGCCACCCTCCTATCCCCCTCTGTTTCAGGGTCTCCATGAAACTTCTCCCAGTCCCTCCCTCTCCCTGGGACTCTGTGTGTCCCCTGCATTGCCCACTCTTCTACATGCCAGGGTCCCCAATCTCCTCTCTGCCCCCCAGCTCTGTGTGCACACCCCATTCTCCTCCATACCAGCGGCCGTGTATGCACCCCTATTCCTTCTTCCTCAAGTGCCAGGATCCTCCAGTCTCTCCTCCAACAGGGGCTGTGTTCCCTATCTCATACTCAGATTCCCATTCTCCCCCATGTGCCAGGGGCTTTGTGCCATGCCCCCATTCTTCCCACCCAGCATTATTCTTTCTCCCTGGGAGATAAGTCAACATGTCTCAACTCTATTGGGAGCACAGGCAGAGCTGAAATAGGAATAGTGTTATGCTAAAAGAGGTTAATTGGTGCCATCAACCAGTTGTTTGAGTTACATACAGTTGCAGAGGTGCTTGAAACTGTGGCTGTGTTAAAAACAGATGGCCCTGTGCCTCCGTTTTCCCTCTTGTGTGGTTTTCCCCCAAATCAGTAGGATTCTGCCCACTGATACCTAGAACAGTCAGTGAAATTTTGGCATTGATGAGACGCAGTATTTTAAAATTATCACGTTACATACAGACAGCAGTGCCGGTGAGTTGAGTTTAAGGCCCACACAAGTTTGGCCAAATGTGATTTTTCAAATTAATGCATCAAAATGAACACACAAGACTTACTTTCTTCCTGTGGTAACATACATGTTGCACTTTTCCCCACACCTAAGTTAATGTACTATAGCCAATTAAAAGGAAAATACCAAAGAATTAAAACAAAAATCACTTACTTTCTATTTGTGAGTGGAGATCATTGACTATCACTTGTAGCTGCCCAATAGTCATATCTCTCAGGTCAGTGGGTTTTAAACTTCTTTTCATCAAGCATTCACTTATATGAGGCATATGTGGCAGCTAAAGATGGATTAAAGGCCTTTTAGGTTATTATTACTTCAAATTATTTATATTTCTAAATAAAAATGATAAATGTGTTGACATTCCACGTACTACCCTCCCCTACCCCCACCCCCTACCATGCACACGCTTTCATGTAGCCATAGAAAGCCCATTTACTGAGACTTCCAAAATGAAAACTTTTGATTAATGTTTAAGTCAGCCTTTCAAAGGAAAGAACAAGGATGAATAAATCCTTTTATGATAAATTGTCACAAAAATAATCATCCTCCCCGTAGTCATAACCTTCTAGCTTCATTGCTTCATTTCCCCCCAGATATCACTTCGTAAATGACCCACTACAGTGACCCATGTTGACTCTGCAACTACTGATTGAAATGTCATACCTAAATCTCTTGCCTTATATGCAATTATACATGGTAACTGCACTTCCCTTTGGAATATATGGATATTCCTGACTGAGCCATTTCTCAAACACTAAGAATCAAGTTTAAAACAAAGTGTTGAGCCACTGGACTGTATCTACATCATCACAATATAAACGTTGATGTGGCATTAAACTAGACAAGTGTCAACTTAAATAGAAAAAGTCTTGAGAAAAGTCATCTAGAAAGACAGCTGTTACCAATTACTGGCTGTTTTAAATTAAGATACCATTTTAATTCTCAATCAGCCTTTATGTTTAACACAGGCAGACAGGATAGATGGATGAATGGTTAGCCTTACTTTTTTGCTGCTCTTCAGAGAGTGATTTATACAATATACAGTGGGAGAGATTTATTTGAAAACATATGGAACCATTTTAAATCTGGGATTAACTTTTTCATATATTACATTACTATATATGTTGGAAAAATGACTATAGAGTTAAGATCTCATCTTTAAAATGTACATTCTACTTTCAAGTACTTTTTTTGGTTTTCATTTCTGCTTAGCAGAGTTTTGTTTCTGCTGTATTTATTGGTTCTTTAATTACTAATCTGAACAGATTTGTGAATAGTGGTAGTAATGATTATATATTTCTCTTAGTTCTCTCTCTGTTCTCTCTCTATATACATGTTACACACACAGTTAAAAATTAACAAAGGCTTATTATAAAAGTTAGTTCTCATTTACTGATAATGGGTGGATGCAAATTATCTCCTAAAATAACATTTAAGCCTTTCAAAATGTTGATAAAATTATATGCACTTTATTTTTCAGCACACACACAGATATTATTATATATGAATAAACAGAACTTCACTTGCGGGTAGTTCCACTAACTGCAAAAACATCCTTTCGAAGTACACTGTATTGTCATGCCTTATTCCATTTCTGAATTTGAATATCTTTATTATTCGGTCAAATCTTCTAAAGCAGTGGTTCTATACCTTTTTGGGATCAGGACCCATTTGTGAATGTTTATGGCCTGTGGTAATGCAGTAAATAGTCAGGGATGGAGGTGGGGGTGGTTTTGGTCAGGTCCTGCCTGGCACTCACCCCACAGTGGCAGGTCCTGTGCTGAGGGCCTAACAGGGCCTGGCTCTCCGCTCCGGGTGTTGCAACCTCTGGGATTGCAGACCTGTCCCCCCGGACAAAACTTGTGTGAGTGGACTTGTCACCTGGCTCATGGGGTTGCACTGCCACTCACTCAAATATGGCCTACCAGGACTCCCGTCATCATGAAGGCTGGGCCAAACCTAACTGGTGCTGATACCCTAGAGGTTACAATACTTGGAGCAGGGAGGTGAGCCCAGCCAGCCCCGTGGGACAGGAACCACAGGTTGAGAAACCCTGTTCTAAAGTTGATGATTTCCAGCTGAATAATCTCAGATAATTTTGTAACAACTAGGAAAGAGTTTCCTAAGAATCTCTTTCTCAAACACACTTATTTATTATTTATATAAACAAATAGACACACACATATGAACACACAACCTCTAACTTGTAAGACACAGTTTGGCTTCATTATTATACAATATTAAGTATGGGTCTGAGCCTGCAAATATTTACTAGCAGGTGTAGTGCTTGATCTAAATAAGACTACCTGTGGCAGTAAGCACTGCACCCAATAAAATGTGTTTGCAAGATAGCACCTTAAAGCTAGAGGACGTTTCACTGTATAGAATTTATTTTCTCTACTTTCTCAGATTGTAATGAGCGCTACAAAATATTTGAAGTATATTTTACTCTTTGTAAATAAAAAATCCTTTGTTCATGTAGTTTTGGAGATATTTGGATGCACTATTACAGAATTTGGATAATTGGAAAGAATTAGTGATTCTCAAGTGGTTAAGTATCCCAACAGAAAAACAACAAATTGTTAACATTTGGTGGTGACTGAATGCATCCTGGCCTTTGGTTTGATACTCACAAGATCAGCTACGGGGGATTTTTTCCTGTTCTGCTTTTCCACCTCCACTTGCATTTTGGCCATTGGTTTTGCCATAGCCAAAGCCATTTTGGCTTCAGCTTGCAGTTTCTTTTGTCTAGTGAGAAAATCCATGTCATCTAGGGATTCGGATTCCTCTTCAGTAGTGTCTCTGTCAGAGTAGGAGGAGCTTTGCTTGCTCTAGGAAAGTACACACACATCAGTTGTAAGCGTATAACAACATTCACACTTTAAGATAGACAATATTGTAAGAAATTTTAGCTTTAAAGCTTCAAAATTTTCATGTATGCAAGTGGTGTGACTTCTTCAGGGGAGATAGAGATCATTTAATTTTATTTGATCAACAAAATTATTTTTAAATATCAAAAACCATTTTTCAAGACAGGAACACTTAAATGCTAATGGTAACTTGAGTTTTAGTTAGGGAGAGAAACCTGCTAGATCAGTGAGTGTTTGAAGGGAATGGATTGAATCAAACTCTGGGAAATCCCAGTAAGGGTTGGAGGCCCTCGGGTATTGTTCATATAGGGGGAAAGGGGGAATTGTAGCAGATCTGCTAATTTCCTTGCTACAATATTGTTCAGAAGGAAGGGGCGGTGGGACGCTGATGCTTCTCCACGCCATTCCCTTCCTTACTGTTACCAGCCCATAAAAGGAGGGAACTTATTCACATATCTAGCACATCTGAGCTACCTAGCAATATGCAGTTTGTTGTAGCTGTGTTGGTCCCAGAATATTAGAGAGAAGGTGGGTGAGATAATATCTTTTATTGGATCTCTCACCAACAGAAGTTGGTTCAATAAAAGATATTACCTCACCCACCTTGTTTCTCTACCCAGAAACAGTTTGCCAACTGTGGCCAGTAGTCAAAAATATTTTACAGATAATCAAGGACTGTTAAGTTTTTATAACCATCTTGTTATCTTAACAAGCTCCTTGTCCGCTTATATCATTGCCAGTTTATAACTTTTCCCAATCATAACTTAATTTATACCTATATTAAATATATTAAGAATGGCATATGCATGTGCTAAAGAATTATTTTAAATGATAGAAGCTCATGTACATACTTGTGCTTTAAAATCTTTTCATTTCTTAACTAGTTTCACAAAAGGCCTTAGTGAGGGGAGGGATAGCTCAGTGGTTTGAGCATTGGCCTGCTAAACCCAGGAGTGGGTTGTGAGTTCAATCCTTGAGGGGGGCCATTTAGGGATCTGGGTCAAAAATTGGGGATTGGTCCGGCTTCAAGCAGGGGGTTGGACTAGATGACCTCCTGAGGTCCCTTCCAACCTTGATATTCTATGATTCTATGATCAGACCTACCATTGGAGACAAAGGCGTATCCAAGCTTGTTTCAGTCTTGCTGTCATCGGCATCACTATCCTTGTCACTTCCACTGTCATTTACAAAACAAATCTGCAGGTTCATCCCACTTTGTAGCCTGGAGGGGGAGGAAAGGGACAGGTTTTAGCATGCATACTTTCTCTCGACAACAAATCTGAAATATTGTCACCAGCAATCACTGTTGCTTAACAAGGTATGCTAACATATTAGCAAATATAGGAGCTCCAACCTAAATCAACACTGAAGGTTTAACTGTCTCTATCAACATATCCTTCTGAGAGCCAGACTAATTTCTAGCAGAAAATAAAATGCTAAAGTGCCTTAAGCACAAGTTATTTAACTTTGAAAAAGAATGCCATCAACGTGATTTTTTTTCCTATTTGTGTAAAAAGAAAAAGTGTTTCCACTAGGTTTTTTTTTTTTTTTTTAAGGGAAGTATTTGTTTTTAGACATAATTAACATTCCCCATGGTATTATTTGAAACCTAAACATTGCAGCACTAAACTGGAAAGTGAAATTGACTATTAATAGAAGTGTAATTGACTTAACTGATTCTCAGCGTTGAAGAGGAGAAAAATATGAAGAGTAAACGAAGACTATAGTGTCAAGTAAAATTCATTCACTTCTAATAAATCTAGGGTGTTCTTAGAAACATAGCTAAAGCAATATATTTAACACAGAGGGCCAGATCCTCTGGTGTGGCGTGGCTGCTTTGCCTTGCAGCGCTCATGAAACTTATTATTATTAATTTGTATTATCAAAGTGCCTAGGAACCCTAGTCATGGGCAAGGACCCCATTGTGCTAGGCTCTGTACAAACAGAGAGCAAAAATCAAGCTGAGGAGCTGGTGGATCCTAACACTGGAAGGAAGACCTCAGTACAAGAGAGATCCTCCGATGGCCAAGAACGCACATAGACACTCTTGTGGCACTCCCCATCCCTGCTGCTGGTACAGTTTCTCCATCATGCACTGATCTCCAACAAAAAGAAGTTAAATTCCCAAATTCAAGAACCAATTCAACAGCAAAGCCAGGAACAGAACACAGCTTTTCTAGGTGAAAGGCTTGTGCTCTACCACAATACTGAAACACAACAGCTGATTTTAAATCATAGTTACTGTGTTTCAATTAAAAAGCTCTCCAGTTCAGTAACAGTACTATGCTTTTGCTGCCATCTGTTGCTGAATTTTAGTATTACTAAAAGCTCTACACAGTTTGTCATTATACCTTTCTTGCTAGAAAACATGCAGATTGTAATATAATGCACAACTGCCACAGTGAAATGATATTCATTTAAGGGTTTAATTTACAGTATTCCTATTAATGTTTTTGTATAACCTGACTGCCTTTCAGACCTGCTCCAACCTAGACATTCCCTTCCACCCCCACTCACTGTGTGCTTGTCTATTATTTTAAACTCTTTGGGGGCAGGAACTATCTCACATGATGTGTTTGTCCAGTACCAAGGGACTGGATCCCTGATCACAATTGCGGCCACGAGGTGCTACTGAGATACAAAGTAATAGATGTGCCTTTATTGCCAAAAGAAGGCAAGGACCTTTGTTGGTTTTTCTAACCTTCTGTCCTGTGAGTGATTTGCCCTTTCCAAGAACACCTATGCTCATTTGTCAACTGAGTTTTTCCCAGCTTGATGACTTAGAACAACTATGAGTGGGTGTGGTTTCAAAATGCAGATAATAAGGCAGGTCTCTGGGTTTTTTGGGGGGAAATTAACAGTTCTAATGCTAAGCTTTCCCCCCTTTTTCTCAGATAATGGTTATCCCTTTGAGTACTAAATTTATCAGGTGGGGAATTTTAGAAGCAGCATATGCCTTAACCTTATCAACCTTTAATTCAAAGATTCATGGAGTTTAAGGCCAGAAGAGACAATTAGATCATCTAGCCTGACTTGTATATCACAGACCATGACATTTCATCTTGTTGTCCCTGTATTGTGTTTGAATAAAGCATAACTTGTGCTTAGCTAAAATTTATCTTCCAGAAAGGTATCTGGTTTTGATTTGAAGACATCAAGAGACGGATAATCCAGCACCTACCGGGGGGGGTTTGTTCTAGTGGTTAATCCCCTCTACTGTTAAAAATTTATGCCTCTTCGAATTTGAACGTGTCTGGCTTCAACATCTAGCCATTGGTTCTTGTTATGCCTTTCTCTGCTAGTGTAAAAAGACCTTTAGTACCATTATTCTCCCCCCCCCCCCCCAAAAAAAAAAGTACTTATACAGTATAGTCAACTAATCTCTCAGTCTTCGTTTTGATAAATTAATCAGATTGGGATCTTTAAGTCTCTCATTGTAAGGCATCTTCTCCATCCTCGAATCATTATGTGGCTCTTTCCTTCACCCTGTCAATGTCCTTTTAAAAATGCTGACACCAAAACTGGATACAATAATTCCAGAATCTGTCTCCCCAATGCCATATGCAGAGGTAAAATCACCTTGCTACTTCACTATTTATACAGCCACAGATTACATTAGCCCATTTTGCCACAGCATCGCACTAGGAGATCACTTTCAGCTGTTTGTCCACTATGACCCCTAAATCCTTTTCAGTTATTCTTTTCCAGGACATAGTCCACCATTCTGTAGGTATAGCCTGCATTTTTTGTTCTATATATGACTGTATTAAAATACATTTTGTTTGAATGGCTTACCAAGCAATCCAGCTCTCTCTCTCTGTAAGACTGCCTGGTCCTCCTCATTATTTACCACTCTGCCAATCTTTGTATCATCTGCAAATTTATCAGCAGTGACTTTATATTTATTTCCAGATCACTGAAGAAAATGTTCATTAGCGTTAGGTTTAATACTGATCCCTGTGGAACCCCCTAGAAACACCCTCTTTCAATGAAGATTCCCCACCGACAAACTACTTTTTGAAATGCGTCAGTTAGCCAGTTCTTAATCCATTTAATGTGCGCTTTATTGATATTGCATAATGTTTTTTATTAGAATGTCAGCTGTACTAAGTCAAATACCTTTCAAAAGTCTACATATATCACACCTACAGTTATTATTATCAACCAAATTTGTAATCTCATCAAAGAATAAAAGATGTATTTTCCATAAAGCCACATTGACTGGCCTTAATTATATTACTATCCTTTACTTCTTTACTGGTTGAATCCTGTATCAGCTTTTCCATTATTTTTCCTGGGATTGATCTCAGGTAAACCTGCCTATAGTTACTTGGGTCATCCCACTTGCCCTATTTGAATATTGACATGACATTAAAACTCTTCCAGTCTTCTGGAAATTCCCTGGTATTCCAAGATTTATTAAAAAGAAACATCAGCAGGCCAGAGATCATCTCCGTCATTTTAGGGTTGTTAGGTGCAAGTTAATTTAAGATTAAAGTTTATGTATAAAATAACGACTGCCTAACCCTCTCCCAGCAACCACCACAACTTTCTAATTAGAACCAAGATACACAGCAAAACTAAAAAGCGTGTAGGGGATGTTTCTCCTTTTTAAATACAAGGAATTATGTGCACAAATTCCTGTGCCTCAAAATGGAATGAATCCTCTAGCTCTGGCCATTAGGCTATAAGAGCTCTTGTAGCATCAGAAATATCCAGAGGAGTTTGCAGAAAGCATCCAAAGGAAAATAGGAGAATTGCCTGGACAGAACGAAATGAGAAGGCATTTAAAACCACAGGAAATCACCTTAGCACCACTTTGTCTCTGTGGGAATGCAGACACACCTTCTTTTAGGCTAAAGCCTGTAATTCCTTTACATTCCTGGAAGAGGTAACTAAGAATGCTACACAGGAAAAAGTGTGACGCTACAGTTAATGGTTTAAGAGTGCACTTTGAAAAGCATTTAAAAATAGGTTGACATTTCCAGGTAGATCTGATTGCCTTCTAGCTTGACTGCTGCTGTGCCAATGGTCTCTGCATATTTCACTAACTTTAGTTTTACTTTGAACTTTTATGATATTACAAAGAAGACTTATAAAGTTCTCAATGGTCTATTATGTGAACACTATCTTTCAGAGAGGCAAGGAGCTCTGTCAATCATTCCACTTGCAATATCCCATGCAAGGGCAGATCCCATTGCAATCCCTACATGCAAAGGGCTTAAGACTGCTCTGTCCCTGTACCCTCAGAATTGCAAATCAATACAAAGGAGGTGGGCGAAGAAGCTGAGAGTGTTTCCTGAGCTACAAATACTTCCTTAATCTTTCAAGCTCCCTCATGGAGGATGGAAGTTTTTGGTAGTTATCTCAATCAGAGGTGCAGACTGGGTAGATAAAGAATTATGCAGGTCTTCCCCCCCAGTCCCCATATTTCCCATCCTACTCTTAAATTATGGACTGCTGTACCCTGAAAGAGTTGAACTTGATTTACAGACACTAGGGGTGTCTGCAGAGGAACGAGTCAGATTTAAAGAAAGCTAGTTTCTATGCCCACACATTGCACATACTTTTTCTGTTTTTCCCAGCCATGTGTAGTTTCCATAAGGAAGCTGCGATTTGAGAATTATTCACAATTCGTATTTCACTAAGAATTTCAAATAAGAGGGGGAAGTAAACATATCACTACACACCAAACACAGTGTAACTCACAATCACAGGTTTCAGAGTAGCAGCCGTATTAGTCTGTATTCGCAAAAAGAAAAAAAGTACTTGTGGCACCTTAGAGACTAAACAATTTATTTGAGCATAAGCTTTCGTGAGCTACAGCTCACTTCATCGGATGCATTCAGTGGAAAATACAATGGGGAGATTTATATACATAGAGAACAGTAAACAATGGGTGTTACCATACAGACTGTAATGAGAGTGATCACTTAAGGTGAGCTATTACCAGCAGGAGAGCAGTAGTGTCTCGAAGATAGCTGGGAGTGCTGGTAGCATAGGGCCTGAGGAGGGAGTCTACATAGCCAGACAATCCTGCTGTCAGGGCGCCAATGCCTGAGATGATGTGGCGTCCAGGATTTCCAGGTTTATGGATCTTGGGTAGCAGATAGAATACCCCAGGTCGGGGTTCCAGGGGTATGTCTGTGCGGATTTGTTCTTGTGCTTTTTCAGGTAGTTTCTTGAGCAAATGGGGTAGTTTCTTTTGGTAACCCTCAGTGG